AGAGAGAGAGGGAAAAAAAGGATTCTCCCCTAGAGTCTCCAGAAAGGAATAGACGTCTCCCTGCAGACACCTTGTTTTAAACCCAATGAGACCCATGTTGGACTTCTGACCTCAGAACTGCAGTATAATACATGTGTGTTGTTTTAAGCCACTAAGTTTGTAATAATTTGGTAAAGGAGCAATAGAAAATTAATACAGCATTTATGATGTTTCCCCCTCTATAAGCCATGTTGAGTACTTTCATTAAGTGGCCCAGTCTTTTCCGGTTTAAATAGCATACAGTAGGTTTCTTTTGTTAGTAGAGGCTAGGGTCTTGCATCTGTTTAGAGGCAAGCTTATTAGTACATGGGTGTGACCATACTACTGAAATGCATGACGATTCCAAAGACAACAAGCTGGTAATGAACACTAGGTAAAGGATATATGCAAGCTAAAATGCAAAAGGAGCAGAGATGTTAGAAGATTTTTCAGCTGGGGGATTTTCTCATTCTTTCTGTTTTTCATTAATTAATCTAACAGGTACTGACAGCTAATCTCCTTAAAGCAGCCCCATGGCCAAAAAGCCAAGGGAATGAGTATGTCATTTGAGGACTGAACACGCACTTAATTATTGGGCAGGAGACTGAGATGTCTCGATTCCTAGAGATGTTCCCCACATATAGATGGAAACTTAAAATTTGAGTCACCTACGCCCATGTGGGTTTAGGTGTTAGAGAGAACAGCAAAGAACAGCTCCAGGCAAGACTGTCCAGGCATTGAGAATCTGTTTGCTAAGGGTTTTGTGATAAGATTATGTATGTCATCTTGGCATGATAGGTAAATCGTGCAAAATTTGTAAAATTTTTGCAGAAAAATAGCCTTGGAATTCAAGATTCTCTATTGCTTTTCTCATGTAAAGCATCACATTCCTTCCTCCTGGAACAATGAGGATACTGGGGTAGGGGTGGGTAGTGCCATTCATCCAGTACTTTTTGAGCAAAGCGAAGATTCTTATTTCACACAGCACAGACAGAGGGCTACCCATTCATACAGCCTTTGTATCTGAAGCAAAAGTGCTTTCTGAGCAAAGCGAAGGTTGTTATTTCAGGAGGGGGGAATAGATATTCTTTGCTTTCCCCTTTCAACTAATGACCAATTACACCATCACAAACTGTTTATTGAACATCTTTGTTGTTTGTATTAAGTATTAAGCTTAAAATGGGAGAAAGTGACATTCTGTTACCCGGGAAATGACGTGTTATTAACTTTGCCATTGTTACTATACATTGCCAGGAACCCATTCATAGGTTAGGTTATTGTGAAGAGAAGCAAATCAAGATAAATATACAACTCATGGAGATGAAAAATATACTTCTACATGGATTAGCTAGTACTTGAAAAAAAGTGAAGTTTGGCATATAAATTTTACATGATTGTCTAAATTTTCTATTGTTCTCCAAAGCAGCCTTGACTCAAACAAACCAAAGCAAAGCAAACCAAACCAAACAAAATAAAGCTGCCTAAAAACTGGGTGATTGTCTATGATGATCTGCCCCAAAGTGAAGTTTTTTTAATTGTTTGTTTCTGAGAAGCACGTAATTGTTGGTGGGTTGACTAATGAGAAATAAAAGATTATTCTCAACTCCAAATTTAACTACATTGTCATATATGCGAAAGGGACAACTTTATGAAATCACTGGGTTTTAGTAGAAAGAACTATTTCGAGATGGTGGAAAATTTCCCTAGGAAATTTTAATTTTTTCTCACTGTTTTAAAGTACTGGATTCATGAAAGACAAAAGAATATTCTTTGAAATCTTATTAGTCTTACTGTGGTAGTCTCCTGGGAAGTAACTGTGATAATTCTATCAGGAATGGTGCAGAGAAATGGCCTGTGCTGCTTTACAGTTGGAAAAAACCAACATCATGCTCTCTGGCATTATACAGGATCACAAGAAAAGTAATGGTAGTCTAACTTCTATGTAAAAATAACATCAGTAACTATAAGTTTGCTTACACATTTGTGAGCAATGAGTAGTGATTATCACCTAAAATAAACTTTTCTTTTGGTCATTTACCCAACACAGAATTGACCTTACTTAACAGACTTACCTTACTTACCAGATTTTTATTATTGGCTACTAGACAGCTACATGAAGATAATTATTTGTCTGCTCACACTCAATAAATTCAAGAACTAATTCATTTGTCTCCTTTGCTTTTTTACAAACTCTAAACACACACACTCTCTCTCTCTCTCTCTCTCTCTCTCTCTCTCTCTCTCAGTTCCACCTCTTCCCTTTCCTTTTCTGTTCACATCACCAGTTTTGAGGTCACCAAGTTCAAAACCTTTGTATTATTTTGGACCAATCATGTTTTCCTGCCCATTCAGAAATGTTAATGTTTTCAGAAGATGATGGAAAGAAAAAGAGAAAGAAAAGAAAAGTAAGAATGAAAACAAATGGAAGGCAAATGTGTAGGACTATTCCCCTTCCTCACAAAATATCAACCAGAATTTGTTAATTGTAGAAATAAAAAGTGTCGCTGTTTTCTATGATTTTCTCTTCTTTCTCTTTTCTTTGTCCCAGCTTTTTGTATAATCTGAAGTTTGGTCTAAATGAACCAGTATTTGCTTAGCCCTGAGCACTTAAGCTTCAGCATAATCGACACTTGGTTTTACTAGCTGTTGAAGTATATGAAGCCAAATTATCTGGCTGTTAAACTTTTCTAAATCAATTGTTATAGTTTGCATACTTGACCCTGCAAACCTCATGTTGAAATCTGATCCCCAGTGTTAGAGGTAGGGCTTAATGGGAGGTGTTTAAGGGGGAAGATCCATCGAGAATTGATTAATGCCCTTGGTGCGAGTGTGTTCTCTCTCTGTTAGTTCCCATGAGAGCTGGTAAAGCAGCCTGGCAGCACCCTCTTTTGTTTTCCCGTCTTGCCATCTGATCTCTGCACACACTGGCTCCCCTTTGCCTTCTGCTATGAGTGGAGGCAGCTTGAGGCCCTCACCAGAAGCAGTTGTTGGCACTGTGCTTGTATAGCCTTCAGAAGCCAAATAAACCTCTTTTCTTTATGAATTACCCAGCCTCAGGTATCTTTTATAAGCAATACAAATGGAAAAGAAATGAGTCAAAAATCCAGTCATTGAAAATACGCCACTGAACATTCCGAGGAATTAATTCAATTGGCCATCTGTCATGAAGACATCATCAGTCAATGGCAATCCTGATGCGTACAGGACTCAACATAGGCTCAGGTATTTATTTCATAAGTGAGAAAAAACTTAGGCAGAGAAATAAGCTGACTCTTTTTGCTTCGAGAATCAGATATTGGCATTGAATGACTCTATTTCCCAGAAAATCCAAGACATGCTTAATGAACAAGGGTAATAATTTTGCATGTCTCTTTCCAGTAGAGTTTACCTCGGGCTTGAGAAGACTGCATTATAAGACTTTTGCCCAAGACGGACTTTTAAAAATGAATTTAAATACTTCATACTTTTCTGCTTGCACTTTCCAAAAGAAAAGGGTATTGACAGTAAGCACAGATTAAGTGAATGCAGCTGATGACAATAGCGCCTTTCAAGTCAAGACACTGGGGCATCAGTAATGACAGGAAGAACATTTGGCAAAGGTCAGGGCACCAGGGTTTAGTCCTAGTCTGCTCTTAAAAAACTGTATGAACTTATGGAAGGAAGTCAGCTTTCCTCTCTGAGCTTCAGTTTCCTAATTGGAAAAGAAAAATATCCGGATAAAGTAGAATCAAACAGACTTCTGTCTTTGATGTTTTTTCTGTGGAGCATTTACGAGTTCCATAGGCTAATAATTATGTGCAATAAGATTAACTGATTTGTGATCTTCTCTCCTGGACAGAACAAATACCTTTACCTACTTTTGCAAAGGGGCCACTGACACTGAAGGCTTTTTGTGTGTTTTATAAATTACAAGAATTAATCTGAAGGATTATGCAAAATAAAGTGGTCAAAAACTTGAAACATGAACAAAAACATAAAAATATAAACATAAAACTAAAGGAAACATTTCTATAAAACATAAAATGAAAGGAAAAAATGAGTGAGAGTTTTAATCAAAGTCTAAAATAGCAATCAAAGCCAACTCTTTTTCTTTCCTGACCCCTATCCTTCAGCCATCTGAAATGGAGGGAACTCCCATATTACCCTTTCACCCTAGCAAATTCCCATTACACAAAACATAAACTGCAGCTTTGTATTCACTTCAATAAATTATGCACTGTCTTCAGAAACCAAAGACATTTCATTCTTCGTCTCTAGCTCACTCCTCTTGCTTTATAGTGTCTCTTGTTTTATAATTTCTCACAATATCTTAGACTGACATTTATGAGGTACTGAATTTACAATAGAAGAAAAGGAATTGAAAAAAAATCACCTTAAAAATTCTCTCTGTCGTCAGTCAGTTCATTCAGTAAATTAACATTTATTCAGCCCCTGGTATATACAAGATGCTGTGGTAGTTGTGAAAGATAAAGAGAAATTTATAGTCTAGAAGGGCAGAACGACACGACACAGTTACTGTAAGCATGGATCACTTGCATGATGCTGATAGTGTTTGAGGCATCGTGGGAGTATAACACAGAAAGTGCTACTTAATGAGTGACCATAATTGGACAATTTCAGTCTCTTAAATGGGCAGATGGCCTGTGAAGTGCTATAAAAAGAGAAGAGATTGTCCTTCTCATTAATGAGTGGAAAGGGCCTTGCGTGGGTGCCAGACTTCATTCTTTGATTTTATCACCATTGTTTAATTTAATTAGCTTTTAAGTTATCTTAGCAAACAAAAAGCAGAAATGTCCAATTTAATGTCCAATTGCAAGAAAATGCCCTGACGCATTTTAAAACAGTATCAACATTTCTGTATTTTGGAAACAACAAACAAAATACATTGTTGCCATTCCCTTATTTATAATTTCAAATGACTCACTAAATGTCATTAAAAATAAAATTTAATTTATGTCATTTTTTGAACTCCCTATGATGACTCACCTCGATCCTGATTCCGGTGACGTTTCCAGTACAGTAAGATTGAGATTAGGACCAGGAGAATTACCAGGGAAACAATGCTTAACAATAGTGGAACTGAAAACCAATAGCCTACAGATATTGAAGAAAGAAAAAGGAAAATGATGTCACAGAGGAAATTGTTGAGGCAAAAAGTGATAAAGCAATAGAGTCGAGCTTTTAGTTAAAATTATCCTTAAATACATACATGTGTAGGTTTATATGCATGACTTCATATTATTTTAATAATATTTAGATATTAGTAATAGCTAACATGTTTTATCTGGCTACTATGTAGTAAGAGCTTTAAACTTATTTAATCCTCAGAACATCCCAAGAGTTATTATTTTCTAACAGATTTAAAGAAAACTGAGGCTTTGAGACTTTAACTGAGATCAAAATCAGAATAACAAATGGGATAGCCAAGGCTTGGTTGAAAGTCTGTTTGCCTCTAAAGCGCATATTCTTTGTCATACTGTCTCTTAAAAGAATATATGTTTATTGAGGAAATTGTGGAAAATACAGAGAAGTATAAAGAAAAAAACATGAATCTCATGATTTCAACCCCCAGAGATAACTCATCTCTAAGGTTTTATTAAATTTCTTCTTATCTATGTCTTTAATGCAACTCAGCCTAAATATCAGTTCCTCAGTGTCATGTTGCAATGCAAAGGCAAATGAGGAACTCCTTGGGTCTCTAGTATCTTCTCCATACCTCCATAATGGAATTCGTCACATCATTATTTAACTGAACACTTCAGACCTCAGACAGGGATTTGTCTGATTTCTACAGTTCCAGTGCTTGACATAATGCTTCGAGCATGGAAGATTTTTCGTCAACGTTCACAGAATAAACAAACATTATAGAGGCGGTATATAAACACTGTAAGTGATACAAGTCAAATCTGGCATTCTTGGAAAAAAAAAAAAAGACATTCTTTTTTAGGTTCTTGTTTCTCCGGGAAATACACTCTTGGCCATGGCTGAATCTGAAGATCTCTTCACAAATATCCAAATCCAACACTGCAAGTCTTTTTGACCAAATTTACCTAAATATCCAATTTCTGATTAGTCTGAGTTTTCAGGGACTCCAAAGGCCACTGCACTAAAGAGGTGGGTGTAGAAAGCTTTTCCAGTTTATTGCTCATAATTTCTCCAAAAAAGAGGAGTAATATTTTTTAGGAGGCTTATTACTGACTGCTTCATCCCGAGTCAGTGCTTCAAAACTACACAGAGAAAAGACATGGCTACCATTGCTAAAACTTTTTGTCTTTATAATCTCTGCTCCCTTTATTCTCTCCTCTATCATTCTCACCTCTTGTATCTATGAGGCCCAGAGACAGTAGTTTAGACAAAAACACAAGAAAGCAAAAGGGGACTCGGATAGGAGGTAGTTTGCTAAATGGGTGATGAAAGCACTTCAGAGAGGTCCCTTTTTCACAGTGTAGATTATACAGTGATTTCATCACAGATGTCACTTCTTCCAGGAAACCTTCCAAATCTCCCCCAGATTGAGCCCCTCCTTCCCAACCTCTAGTCCTCCCATGGTGCCTCACAGCTTTCACACTGGAGAATGTAATGCACAGTTTTACAATTGCCTATCCATTTATCTCTATTCCCTCGTAGACTAGAAGCTTAGGGACTGAGTCTTATTCATCGTTGCATTTTTCATGTTCAACACAAAGTCTGGCCCAGAACAGACTTAATTACATGTTAGTAGAATGGAAGAAATAAATAAATGAATGGATCTCAGCAACAGTATTTGGTATGTGGGCAATGAACCACATTTATGAAAGCAAAACTTGCTTTGTTTCCTCAACTGTTTTTCTTTTTTCCTTATTTGCCCCATTCTTTCTCCAAATAGCTCTTGTGCTAAGAGACTGAAACCTCTGCAGGACATTCACTGCCTTCCAGGTGTGTGCACACAGACACAACCACGACCACCTTGCTCACTTTCTCTTACCTTTGTCGAAGGTTTGCTTAAAGTCAGTCACAGTCCCCAGGTGCAGCACCTGGCAGATCACCTCCTTCCCCACCTGATTCTTAGGGTCTTTGATCTGGAGGATGCTGGTAACAGATGTGGTCCCATTTGGGTGAGACAGAGTCACTGTACTATTTTCAAACCCTGACCGAGGGACCTTCCAGAAGATCATGGGGGCTGGGCGGGCAGTGGCAGAGCAAGTGATGTTTAGGTGGTCTTCAGAGTATTTGTAGTGAAGGGATACTATGGGCTGTACTGGGACAAAAAATAAATACAATCTGTTATTAGTTAAGCACCTGGTCTGAGCACTGCAGTCTCCTCAGAGAGATGAGGGAAATATGCTTATAGAAAGATAATGGAGGCTGGAAAGATAGTGTGGCATATCCTACCCAAACTGGGGACTTTCCAGTTCCTCTTGTGTCTAATTTTCTGATCTGCAGGATGGAGACTGGCCTAGTACAAACCTGTGATGAGAAAGACCCTTTCTACAATTTTTCTGTAGCAGAATTAGTCAGATGGACATAGAGTATTGAGAAGTCAGATGATACTTTTCTCTCTCAAACAGTCCTAATTATTCTGTTCTCTTCCAGGGGCAATGCAGCATCTCTGCCTTCTTTTAGGTATTCCTCTTAAGTGGCTTGACAATAGCCACCAATCAGCACCGCCATACATGTGTCCTGTACCTATTAGAGGCACTAGGGCAGTTTCGGAACAGAAAGCCCATAGAAAGGCTACTGCTTAGAGATAGCCATTTTCTTCTTGGAGCTGGACCAATGAATTAGATGCATGGAAGAGAGATGGAAAATCCCTTTTTGGAAGAGCTACACAAAATGCAAATTTGAAATTCATAGCTAAGAACCATAAAAATTTAGAAATGACTGTTGGAAGAGCATTGGAAATCACCTGATTAAGTTAAGAAAAAATAACTAGCTCATGAGAAAACTGTTTTCAGGCCAGCTGTAGCCTGTACCCTTTTGAAAATCCCCTGACCAGTGAGTTCATTTTTGTTAGAATATAGAATTTTTCTTTTCTAAACAAATGTAAACTTGTCTTTCTGTGGTTGGCTTTGGAGCCCAGAAGATAATTAAATGGCAGTGCTAACTGAAAGCCTGGGCTGTGCTTATAGGTTCAAGAGGCAGGGAGATGACAGTGGGTTGGGGATAGTAGGGCTGTGGAACTGTGGCTCTGGCTGAGATCACTAATGTCTGTGAGCACTGGAGGAAGGGAAATAAAAGTGAAAAAATATGAATATGGCTGATGGGCCAGATTGAGTTTTGAGGTCCTATGGTGTATCAAAGAATGGCTTACATGAAAGGTATAAGGTGTGGCTGGAAAGGTCAGTGTGGAAGAGAACAGAATTACTAGCTTTAAAGCTCAGAGGCATCTGGTTTTCAGGAAAAAAAATACAAAAGTCTATGAGTGAAGGAAGGAGACTAAGAGAAAGAAAGATGAGAGGAAAAGAGGAAGAGAAGAAAAGGGAACAGAATGATAAAAATATGACATAAGAAAAAAAAGAAGAAAAATTAGATAGGAGGAAAGAAAGAAGAAAGGAAGGCAGAGAGGGAGGAAAGGACGGAAGGAGACAGGGAGGAGAAACAGAAAAAGAGAGAATGAAGGAAATGGAAATCAAGAAAGCAACGACATAAGATTCTACAGAGAGGACTCATTATAGGCAAAATAAGTAAAAGAGATTTCTTTTAGCATTCCTGTCTCCCTTGCATTCTCATCTACTAAGCTTTTTCTTCCCTGCGGACAATATTCTTGGCATGATTAAACTCTCACTTTAATATTCCTAATAACCGTAAGTTTGTCCTCTACTCCCTAAAACTACTGCCATGTGTGCCATGCTCCAAAGTAATCTCTTATTCCCACTTCCTAATCTTTCACCTCAGCTATATATCAGTTAAGAAGAAAGGAATCTCATCAAACTAAGCCTCTTGGATTTTAAAAGAATGCTATTGCCAAGTTATATCTTTAGTTGGCATCATTTTAGGTATGAAAAGACTCTGCTCCATGTACCCTTATCAATCCTGAAAGAGCTATCCTCCCAAGCAAAATGAGAAAGACAATCATAACTGCCTCAAGGCTAGTCCAATCTATCTCTGTCCTTAGATCCAAAAAGTTGAAGTTGTAAGTGACCCTAGAAATGATCTATTTCACACTTATTGTCTGGACAATGAAACTCCAGAGGAGAGTGGATTGGACCCTTCTAGGGTCACTTGATTGCTAGTGGCAAGCTAAGTCTGAATCATATCACTGCTTACGGAGAACTTGTTGCCCTCACCATTGTTTTCAAATTTCTCCTTTGACAGCAGGATCCCTCAGAGAAAAGATAGCTCCAGCCAAAGAACTCAGTGTAGCCCCATGAACTCTCCAAATAATCATAAACACAGCTATACTAGACATGAAAGGCTATCTTCTCATGACCTTTTCTGTGGTTAAAATCCTGAAAAACTGGGCACTATGGCTATGTTCCAAACATTCTTGGAAATAGTATTTCCAGACACAGACAATGATTCTCAGAGACTCTCACCATAGACCGTGAGGCAGGCTGTTCCTGAGATCTTCCCAGAACCAAAGGTATTGAAGAGACACATGTAACACCCTTCATCCTCCAGGGTGATATTCCAGAAGGTGATGGTTGTGTTTTGGAGTCCCAGCTGGGTAATGTTTATCTTGTCCTTATAGGCAGGCTGGATCACCACCCCATGGTTCTCGCTGAAGGTGACCATGTTTTCTGGGCTTACAGCTTTCTTTTTCTGCCATGTCACAATCAGGACTTCCTGGGCATTTTGCAGAGAGCATCTTAAGGAAGCAGGAGTGTACAGCTGCTCTCTTTCATCCTGGGTCACCACTTGCACTATGGAATCATAAAAGAACATTTATATTTAAAGAGTGTAATACGCATACACTTTTTCCTGATTATAAATAAAAAGTATATTCAATGTCAAATATAGAAAAGATAGAGAAAATGCAAAGAAGAAAACATCTATTTACATTCTTACATGATGCCAGAGAAATATATAGGTTCAAATATGCTTGTTCAATCTTTAAAGAATAGTAGCAGAGTGGAAAAACAAGAAAGCAACTCTCAGTTACAAGAAATTGTGAATAATCTCTGTAAATTGCAAAGTAAGTACAATGAGATTGAAGATGTAAACTGCCAGGTAGGATAGCAGCTTCAACAATCTCGTCCATGCTTGCAGAAGTAGAAGCAAAGAGCAGGAAAAGGCCAAAGAATAACAGGCAGAGTGACCACTTTAAGTAAAGAAGATGGAGCAGCCCTATGCATTCCACACAAACACACACACATAACACATTCTACAAAGGAAGTGGGTTGAACAGAGGTGTCTGCCTCCAGGAAGCAAGAGTGTATATAGGAACATAGGTAAAGAGACGTATGGGACAATGTTCTGGAGGATCTTGAAGCTTTGGCACACAAATAATAATTTACACACCCTCTGCTTTCACTAAATGCTATGGTGATAATTTCTTCCCCTCCTCAATATTAGCAACTCATATGATAATATATTATTTGATGGAAAATCTCAACATAAAAACAAATAGCCAAACTTTTGAGAAAGACAATACAAGGAAAGAGAAATAATAAACTTTACAAACCCAATAACTCATACAAAATGAACAAAGATATCATAAGAAAATAATTTGACATGAATACATGTGATATCGTAAGTGTAATAAAAGTGTAATAAAAGCATTATGAATAGTAGAAATTAGAGATATAGAAAATGAGAAATATAAAATTGCAACAGCTTGGCTGACTTAGCAAAACGGATGAAGAGTTTTCTACTCTTCAGTAGAAGAGTAAATTAGTAAACAGTAAGAACAGGCTGTGAAATTCTTCTCGAATGTAGCACAAAGAGATAACAATATGGAAGGGATTAAGGAAAAATTCAATGAGTAGACTTAAATGTTCCAAAATCAGTTCAATAAGACTTCTAAAAGGAGAGAAAAAAAAAGGAAGACAAAAGCACTGCAAGAGGGAAAAAAAGTGTTTTTCAAAATTTTGAAAGGAACAATCTAAAATCAGATCTATTACATTAATCATAAATCTTTATGTACCTAACAACATAACTCTGAAATATATAAAGCAAAACTAATAGAATTACAAAGAAAAAAATTTAAATCCACAATCATACTGAGAACCTTCAATTTAGTATATTTAAACAATTATTAAAGCAAAAAAGTTAAACAGGAAATTTGAAAAACTGCCAGGTACAGTGGCTGATGCCTGTAATCCCAGTGCTTTGGGAAGCCAACGCAGAAGATTCACTTGAGGCCAGGAGTTCAAGATCAGCCTGGGCAAGAGATGAGACCCTTATCTCTATAAGAAATGTAAAAATAAGCAAGCCGTAGTGGCATGTACTTGTAGACCCAGCTACTCAGGAGCATAGGACAGGAAGATTGCTTAAGTCCAGGGGTTCAAGGTTGTAGTGAGCAATGATCACACCGCTGTACTCCAGCCTGGGTGACAAGGTAAGTCCATGTCACAAAGAAGATAAAACTTGAAAAACAATATATATTTATATATACATTTTAGGTATTTAATATTATCAATGTTTTATATATTTATATTATATACACTATATACTTTATATGTATGTAGATCTCTGGGTGTGTGTGTGTGTGTGTATAAATATAAATTTCTTCCCTTCTCCAATATTAGCAACTCATACTATGATAGATTATTTGATGGAAAATCTCAACATAATAACAAATAGGCAAATTTTTGAGAAAGTCAATACAATGAAAGAGAAATAATAAACTTTACAAACCCAGTAACTCATACTAAATGAATAAAAATAAGACACACACAGACACACACACACTTTACTCAAAGAAAGGATGTATAATCTTTTCAAAAAAACATAAAACATTCCTCGAAATTGAACTCAAAATAGGCTACAAAAAAGTTGCTACCCTATGTATGGCCTTGAACACTGTTCATAATACAATAAAATTAGAAATTTACATACTTCTTTTAAGTCTTAGGTACACCAGAAAGCATAGAAAAAATCATAAATTATTATAACTGAATGACAATGAAAACATACTATATTAAAATTCTACAGAAATGGGTAAGACAGGCAGGGCGCAGTGGCTCACGCCTGTAATCCCAGCACTTTGAGAGGCTGAGGTGAGTGGATCACTTGAGGTCAGAAGTTTGAGACCAACCTGGTCAACAAAGTGAAACTCTGTTTCTACTAAAAATACATAAATTGGCCAGGTGTGGTGGCGGGCATCTGTAATCCCAGCTATTCAGGAGGCTGAGGCAGGAGAATTGCTAGAACCCGAGAGGCAGAGGTTGTAGTGAGCTGAGATTGTGCCACTGCACTCCAGCCTGGGTGACAGTGTGAAATTTCATAGAAAGAAAGAAACAAAGAAAGAGAAAGAGAGAGAGAGAGAGAGAGAGAGAGAATGGCAGCGAGGGAGGAAGGGAGGCAGTGAGGGAGGGAAGGAAGGAAGGAAGGAAGGAAGGAAGGAAGGAAGGAAGGAAGGAAGGAAGGAAGACAGTTCTCAGAGAAACATATTTAATTCTAGCAACATTTAATAGAAAAGAAGAGATACTGAAAAATGAATACACTTACTTCCAAACCTCCTACCCTCCCTTTCAAATATTGCAGTTAATTAATAAAGATAAAAGACTCTAACTAATAAAATGTTACACAAAATGTAAACTTGATCACAAGCATCCAAACTTGTTTTTAAAGACTGATAATATGGATAAAATGTTGCCAAGTATAAGCAGAAAAAAGAAGAAGACTGAGCAAACAAACAACTCCCCAATAATATCAGGGAATGAAAGATGGGTATAACAAATACAGGCTGGACCCCTGAGTATTGCATAATTCAAAACTAAAAATGATGTGTACTCTTGGAAGATGTGAAAAGTTCTGGGAAACTACCTGTTGCTAGGATTGAGGTTTCTTCAAAGTTTGTTGAGATTTTGCAGACCAGAGATTTGAAGAAATTATTACTTTTAGAAGGCAGAGTGAAAGGGGACTCAAAGCTAGAGTTCAACTCTTAGATAAGTTCTTTTTCTTTTTGATTATGGAAGAAATCATTTAGAGGAAGTTTACAATTCTTTGCTACTTCTATGGAATCTAATTTAGATTCCTCTGGTCAGTTGAGAAGTCCTGTGATGAACGTTGTGGACCAGAGTTGGAGATGGGCATGAGCCCACCTGATCTTCACCAGCATCACCAGCATCGGCCACATCTGTGGAGGCTGATGCTGAGCAACATCACACTGCAAGTGATGAAAAGGCCAGTCGTAAAGTGAGTGTGGCCTCCCGAGGAACCGAGGAGGAAGAGCTAGGAACTTTGGTAGATGAGTAGATGGCACAGCCAAATTTGTTATACAACAGGTAATATGAGCCTATATAACTTCTATATTTCATTGTTTTCTACATTTTTCTGTAAAAAGGTAACACACCCAATTGTAAGGTTTACTGCCAGATTACTTTCCAAAAAGATTGAATTCAAGCATTCCTATATCTTTAAAAACACAGGAAATCATTTTTTGTAATTCAGTTCAGTAAGTGAAAAATGACATTTTAAAATAGAGGATATTTTTCATAAGTCTGTTTCATCTACTGTGGAAATGGCTTCTAAATATCAAAGCATGCTTCAACATTGAAAACAAAAATGTGGAAAGCAGAAAGAACCACTCTCACTCCTCCAGGCAGACTACATGTTTAAATAATTCATGCAGACAAATGGAACCAGCACAGCACAAACAATAGTGGCTAAATGTCTTCACCCCAGAAATTGTGTCTGCTGGGCTCCAAGCAGGGGAACTGAGCTTCTTTACCTTGTGCTGCGCACAGCACCACTGCTGCCATGCCCCAAACCAGGCTGTAGGTAGACAGATGACAGAAGGGCATCCTGATCACCTGAAGACAGAAAGCAAAGTACAGAAATGGGGGTTTGGATTTGGACAAAGCCAAGGAAGCTTCAAGCTAATCGCTATTTCAGGGAATGGTGTAGCTAAGTTTTTACCCCCCAGAGAACTTTGGTTTTGTGGGAGCAGAACTAGAGGTTATAAATGGAGGAAATAACAAAGCATGCTCAAGATATGAGGAGGGAAAAGCAGCAGCATGGCTCCAACACAATAGCAATCCCTGGCAATTTGGGGCCTTGCTCCTAAAGCCACCATTATCAAGAGCAAGGTCTCAAAGACATAGGATCACTTACAAACTGCCTTAAATAAATACAGAAAATGCTGAGAATACAAATGTTTGATAGCATCCACTTCCCCAAAAACCCACATCTGTTAATATTAAAAATGTAACTCAGCAGGCAACCACTTTTCAGGAACATTATTTGACTGCCTTGAATTTTGTTGAGGTTGATTTTAATTCTGCAAGTCTTACACATAAACTGCATGTTTTAAACACCAGCACTGGCTTTGATTTTTTCCTTCATTGCCTTATGTTCATGTGTCTGGGCAGAAATCCTTGACCTTCTTACAAATCATGAGAGGATTCAAGAGAATGTTATTCTGGGCATCACCCTTCGATAAAACGGTAAGTCAGGGTAGAGGCAGTTGAACTTTTCTCTGCAATATTGCCATGGATCCTTTCATTTGGTCTGTATGTATGCTCATACTAAGGGGCAAAGGCAACAAATGTAACTTTTTCCTATATTTTTTCTATATTTCTATTTTTCAGAATAGAAATGAGTAAAAAATATAACTTTTATCTGTTTTTAACTGAACTTTATTTTTATTTCACGTTACTATTCCAACTAGAGGTAAGAATTCACTTCCAATCAATGTCACATAATCTCTGTCAATTCAGTCTCTCACCACCACAACACCTCATAATTGTCCCAATCTCCAGCATTGCATCTACATTCCTGGGGGTTCACAAAATGCCAAGCTATAAGACAGGACTACTAATCACTAATTACAACCATCTATTATGCTTGCGTTTGCTAAAATGGCTGTGTTCCCCTCAAGTCATCACTGTCATTAGTTTGTGCAATTATTGCTCACAAGATGAGCTGGTGCTCGCTCGTCTTCTTCCAGGCTGTCCCTGGGTTCCCCTTGTGCTGGATGAAAGGAAATTCTACAAGGCTTTCTGCCTAAATTCCCATTGAACATGTTTTACTGTTCACTTGCCATGATGGACAAGCATGCTGCTTCCTACAGTCTCTTTAGGGGACTGTGAGACACAGGTATTATTTTTTTCTTGGATCTCAACAACTACTTGCAGGTTCTATTTTCCAGTGTCCTGAACTTCCCTTGTCTGGGGCCTGGGCCCAGGGCGTTATTTTGGGAATGCAAACTGGTATCTGAGCATAGACATCAATCAGTCCCATTTTGCTGTCCTAGCCTAGAAAATATTTACCTCCCTGAACCAGAAAAGCTGGTTCCTCCATCACGCTGCATTCATCCAATCAACCCTTTCTAGCATGAACATTATATCCTTGGTCTTTTAGCATTTAGTGATTTGAAACTGGAATGCCAAGGCTCTTGGTATTGCAAAATTTTGGCTTTCGAAACTAAAATTTATTTTCTGCTTAGTATTCCTCCTGTAAAGCAATGGATACTTAACTGTCTGATTTGAAAGACCAGAGGACAAAAATAAAGTACTGGAATAAAAAACCACACCAGATGATACATTAAAATAATACTCCAACTTATATTTTGCATAAGGTTACTAAACCACTAACATTAACATTTATTGAACATTTATTATGTACTAGACACTGTTCTTAGCACTTGAGACAAAGTATTTCATCCAATATTTCATATAAATCTATATAGGAAGCACTATTATTATCATCATTTTCAAAATAAAGAATATGAGGCAGAGAGAAGTTAAGTAACTTGCCCAAGGTCACACAGCTATGAAGTGACAGAGAAGGGGTTTAAGCCCAGGCAGTCTGGTTTCAGAGTTTATAACCATAATTACCACACCATCTCGCCTCCTCTATGTATAAAGTTTTGTTGGTTTAAAAATTTTGACATGGCTGGGCGTGGTGGCTCACGCCTGTAATGCCAGCACTTTCGGAGGTCAAGGCAGGTGGATCATGAGGTCAGGAGATGGAGACCATCCTGGCTAACACACTGAAACCCCGTCTCTACTAAAAATACAAAAAATTAGCCGGGTGTGGTGGCGGGTGCCTGTAGTCCCAGCTACTCAGGAGTCTGAGGCAGGAGAATGGCGTGAACCCAGGAGGTGGAGGTTGCAGTGAGCAGAGATCACATCACTGCACTTCACTTCAGCCTGAGCGACAGAGTGAGACTCCGTCTCAAAAAAAAAAAAATTGACGCATCATCACAAAAGTACGTTGTTATTGCTGTGACTAAATCATTGTTGTGATGAATGACCAAAGATATTCACACAGCAGTCCCTGCTTCACTGCCCTGCAACAATATGTTAAATTCAATTTTGAAGCTGTATTTAAAAAGCATTTAAACAGGTGTCCACAGAGCCAAGGAATCTCTGAAAGCCTTTGAGTCATTGTCTAGAAGCTCTGCTAGTAATAAAGCATGACCCCATCCGTCATTACCTGCAGCTCAGCACCTACAAACATGCTATCCAATCTCATGTCACTGTACTTTCCATCTTGCACACCAAGCTCCACTTCACCATTCTTTCAATAACTTGAAATTACCAAGCTATTTCCTACATTAGTTCTTTTATCTTTTCTTCTGCCTAAGATGCTGTCAGTTGAATACAAAAATGAACGAATGATGAATAATTAAATTTGTGAGTAACATCAAATTAATCATCATTTTACCCAAAAACAGCTACTCTTTTGGACTTTTATCTCCCAGGCACTCAAGTCATCCAGGATGCCTCATTTTTGCCCTACCTAGATATGTAATTAGTCACTATGCACATTAGATTCTCGCATGTGAAGTGTCTGTTCCTTACCACCCTAGTCTCAGCTCATAACACTGGGTGTTTTGTGCAGTAGTCTTGTCTTCTATTGCAACTGAACTTTTGCCAATGTAGTTGGCCCACTGTATCTGTGGGTTGTGTATCCATGGATTCAGGTAACCACAGATGGAAAATATATTTTTTAAAAAAGCATCTGCACTGAGCATATACAGATTCTTGTCATTATTGCCTAAATAATACAGCATAAGAACTATTTATATAGAATCTATATTGTATTAGGAATTATAAATAATTAAGAGATGAGTTTATAAATATGGGAAGATATGCATAGGTTATATGCAAATATTACAGTATTTCATATAAGGGACTTGCACCATCCACCAATTGGTATCTGTGAGGGTCTTGGAACAAAGCCCCCATGGATACCAAGGGACAACTGTACTTCTTTCATTTATTCTATTATTAATCATCTCTATTGAGTCTGACTTCATGCCAGGCACTATGGTAGGTGCTTTGGAGACAATGGTGGATAAGGCAGATATAGTCCCTAACTTAGTTTACTATCCAGCTAATGTATTTACACACTATCAACAGATTAATTTTCCTTAAATTCCTCTTTGCACAAGATGTCATCCTCTTCTACAGCTCCTAGCTATCTAGAGAAAATTGTTCAAAGTTCTTAGCCTATTTTCATTCTTGCAATTTCATTTCCATTGCCTTCCTATGTATCCCCTCCCTGCCAGCTAGCCTTTTCTACTTCTAAATGCACCACGCAATTTCCCGCCTTGGTATTTTTGCTTGAGCCATTCCTCCTACATGAAATGTCTTCCCCCTCACTTGTATTTATGTAAGGTCTTACTTTTATGAGCCTGATTACAGTCATCTTGCTATACAGATCCTCCTCTTCTGAAGCACTTTCTGTTTAGGTCTTTTGGAACTTTTAGTGCTCCAAAAAAATTCATGCCTCTTCCTCCAGGGCCAAAGGGGTCCTATCTCCCTTTGTCCCCCATGCCACAGCTTCCAGATCTTGTCTGAACACACCCATCTGCTTTCCAGTTTGAGAGAAGACAACTACTTCCCAAATAGACCCACCATATATCCTACACCCTGAGACCCTGCTTCCAGTATGCTTACTACCTGCCAACACCCCTCACCCGCCGCCACTCTCCCAGCTATCAATCTTTCATTCTCTCTTGTCAGTGAAAAAAATATATAATACTAAAGCAGACTTGACAATTTTGAAACTACTATTCTTTCTCAGACTGAGTTAAATTCCTGAGGTTGGGACATTGGCTGCTTGTTTCACTAGAAACAGTCTCTTGTTTGGCTCTGTGTATTCTTTCGTGGTATTTAGCAGTATGATCACAGTCTTCCATAAAGTGGTAGTCTCTCTGCGCCTGTCTCATTGGCCTCAAGAACCTCAATATCTACTGAATCCTGTTGCCTTAGTGGGATGCCCTGACCACTTTTTCCTTAATAAACCCATCATGGGCATCCCTTTCTCAAGTTATGTGTTCTTATCGGCTCCTGTTTAGCCGCATCTGTTGCTATTATAATTTGAAGCTTATTTCTAGACTATTGGACCATAATCACTTAAATGATCTTGCTTTAGAGTCAGGATGATTGTTAAAGGGTAGTATTCCACCTGTGGGAATCCCATCCCCTCATTCTCAGTGTTTGCCTTAACTAAGCCCTGTTTTTGCCATTCCTTTTAGATACAATGACTTCCCTGCTGGAGTTCATTTTCCTTAACACTCCAAGCTGTGTCTCTCTGTTTGCCTTTCAATTTCTCTGGGATTTTTATTGTCTTGTGATAGCCTTCTTCCTGTGGGCTTAGGAGCAGCGGGTGGGGGAACAGAGTTCTCAAGGATCTAAATATCTCCTCCTTTACCTACCACAAGGATTTCTCTTCCTTTTCCTGTCCAACGGGCGCCACTCAATTCTAATATCCTCCTACTCAATGGATTTGTTAATTTTAATTCTGGTCAATCATGCCCTTTTCTTTCCTTATGAAATAGCCATGACCTAAACTTAATGAGGGAAATTTCAAAAGGAAGTACCAAACCAATTCCAAATAACAGGTGTTTCACAAACATTAATCTTATATAATAAGCTTCATTTTTCCTCTAGCAAGAGAAGTTACTAACCAAGTCCCTTCATAGGTAGGGGTAGAAAATTACCTGGTAATCATTAATGGTGATCTTTCCTAGGAGTGGAGCTATAAGGAGAGGGCCCCCAATTGTCCTGGTCAGGGTCTGTGGTTGGAGATCAATCAGATGATAAAAATTGGAGCCAATATTGTCTCAGCTCTCTTGGGGACAACTTGTACCCTGGAGGTGGTTGTGTGTGTTGAGCACCAGAGCTGTCATCGTCTGGGTGAAGAGCCAGCATCATGTTAGGGACTGGCATGCTGGAAAAGGGCTCTTCTTCAGCACCCACTCTAATTGCCAGAGACAGGGAGTCTCCATCACTATCGTGTTCCTGTGATGGATCTTGCAGGATAGATGTCTTAGAAGGAATGATGTCTCACCTCCCCATGGCCTATCCCAACTGCTACCACATACCTGAGTGTCTTCCTGTCTTCAGCTAGAGAGAACCAGTCACTTAGACTCTCATCCCAGACCCCATGCAGTGGCATCATAGTATACAGTGATACTGATCTTTGTGACGTAAGTTGCTTTTTCTTTACATCTCTAAGGCTACAGAGAATTCAAGATTATATCATCTGAAGGTGCCATTAGGACAAATTATTGTTTGCAGATAGATTTTATTATTCGATACCCAAGCATACCATAAGCATGCTATGCCTTCCTTGTGACTTCTCTTCCTGTCTTCACAGGTCTAAGACTAATAACATAGTTACTGCTTTTTGAGAAATCCAAGATGATTCAGCTTCCTGAACACATACTCACAGTCTACAAAGACCTGCTCATCCTGCCCATTCACTGCTGGGCATTATACTCACAAAGGCTTTGGTTTGAAATGAGCAGAGATAACTCGATAATTTTCTCAGTATTACTGAGACTGTTTCATCCTATATAATTATCTAGGAAAGTCAGAAAAAATCAGGCCAAATGTTTCCTCAGGCTCCATTGCCAGTGCCCACCCAACACATTTTGTTTTATTTTCAGCTAAGGCAATTGTGGAGACAGATACTGGCATTCCAATTCTATGTGAGATTTTTTTCAACCATTAGGCTTCTCTCTGACGTGGAAATCCAGGCTCTAGCAGAGGCCATGATGAAGAATGCAGAATGCACAAGTTCTCATAGAGAAAATCTGTGTTTTAGGACGAGAGAGAAAGCAGATACATACCAAACCACATATCGCGGACTGGGAGCCAGCAATGTTAAGAAACAAAAACACAGTGATTGAGGCAAAGGAAATCAGAAGGAAAGCCTTACTCTTAAATAGATACGTATTTTTATTTTACAGTATTTTTTCTTGAGTCCATGCAGAATAACTGAAAAGATGACCAATCTGAAAACAACAGTGTTTATATATTTACAGGGAGGTGACCTGGGCTAAAACAAATACTAGATTTGTGAGCAAAACAAATCATTTTACCTCTCTGAGACTCCGGAAGAGTAACAGTACCAATCTAATGGTTAAAAAGACTAAATGAAGCAGTATATAAAGCTCCTAGAATACTGACGGTACAAATAAGCACTAAATAAATGTTGTTCTTATCTCAGAGTTATTATGAGAATTAGACAATTAAAGCACTTAGTATAGAGCCTAGGTTATCGTAAACGCCAATACGTGTTAGATAGCCAAAAAATATTAATCGATCAAATAACATAGGGGGAACTACAGTCCTGAAAACAAAGAAGCCCACTTATAACCCTTGCCATGCAGTCCAGGGTTCACAAAAACCTGCGTCTTACCAGACAGCTGCCCACCTGGCAGCTACATTACCCCTATTCATGCCTCTTCCTCAGCAAGTTTCTATGTCCAAATCCACATGACCCCACATGTAGTCACAAGGACTTGGAAATATTAGCTTTTCCGCCTGTTTATGTCTAAAACCAGGTAATAATTCATTTTTAGAAGGATAGTTATAAAGAAGATTAACAGCATCTAGCTTGCAGTAGAGCATAGCTCACAGACCACCATTCTCCTTTGTTAAGAAAGACAGTGAAATCATTGGCTATGTGGTTTTGCCAACAAACCATACATGAAAAAATTGTCTTGAGGCATTCATTGTATTTGGATTTTTATACCAATACCATTGTATTTGGATTTCATATACCAATAGGGTATATGAAAACCACCTCCGTTTTTTGTCTTGTAAGCTGGTTCCGAATAAACAAAATGTCTGTTTCTCTAGATACCCGGGGTTAACCCTTCAAAGCATCGTGATCACAGAGCATTTCAGCTCTCTCAAGTGTAGCTTCAGCTTTAACGGATCCTTCATGGCTTCCCCCAGGCAAGGGCTAGGAGGGAGAAAGGGGCTAACAAAGAGACGCTGGAGCTCTCCCGGAGAGAGCGAGCCTGGAAATCAGTATCTCCGCCGCGGCTTTTGGTGCCAACATGGAACCAATACAGCATTTCTCATTCCCTTTTTGGGGCAGTAGAAAATAGGCTGTGCCTCCCCAGCTTTGGGAGCTGGAGCCAGTGAGCCGAGCCGAGCCCCCCGGAGGATGCGCCAGCCTTCCCAGCGCGGATCAAGAGCCCCCGGAGCCCCGGCCTGACGCATCTTTTTTTCAGGGAATTGGAATGGAGAATCCGGACGCCAGCAGCGGCCTGTAAACCACCCTTTGAGGCAAAATCCGCTAATCAGCAAGGTAAAGCGCTTAGAGAAAAGCGCTGCCATCAACACCACCGATAAAGTCCCCGGACCGGACTGTGGTGAGAGCCGAAGCTCCGCGCCTTCCACTCGCCGTCCGCCCCAGGGCCACCGGCTCCACATCGCCCACCCTGCGCCCTCCTTCCCAAGCCCCGGTCCCGCTCACCAGCCTCTCCATCCTCGCTCCTGGAGGCGCACGCGAGGTGGCTGACTGCGGATGTGCGCCTGGAGCTCTGCTTGGGAGGCGGGAGGAGCGTCACCTGTGAACCGCCGCACCTCCCGCCTCTTCCTCCTCTCTAGCCCCTCTTCCACTGGCTTTCCCCCACGCCCTCACAGGAGCGGAGGCTGAATTAAGTGGTTTATATTCAGCGTTGCCTATTTTCACACATTTTTCCCTTTTCAAAGGTGACCACTGGGGAAACTGAGAAAGTGTTTGGAAAAAAAAATTTTTTTTTCCTGTTACCTGGACTGAGAAAGGAAATGAGGTGGGAGGTTGTGAGATCAATTGTTGAACTGTTAGCTCTTGATGTAATGGCAAAGGATTCAAGCTGAATTTAACCAATGGACTTTTTTTTTTTTTTTTAAGAAAAAACTTACATTCATTATTTTTAAATCCAGATTCAAATTATATATTTAAGCAATCAATTCCGTAATGATTTCACCTTTCGTGATGTGATCAATTCCTTGGTGAAGAGTTTCCTTCCACTTGCATTAATGATGAGGATTCTTTTTTATCTTCTCCTTCTCCTTCACCTTCTTCTTCTCCTTCTTCTTCTTCCTCCAGAGTTCTTGGCTCTTGAAAAAAAAAAAAGGACAAAGAAAGCATCAAATGTTCACCTCCTGAAGCCTTTTGTTTTACTACTACCACCCTCTCATAAGGAGCTGGGACAAAGCTTTGGGGTTTTGTTTTTGCTTCTTTTTACAGACAAAGTCTCGCTCTGTTGTCCAAGCTGGAATGCAGTGGTGTGCGATCATAACTCACTCCTGGGCTCAAGGGATCCTCTCACTTCAGCCTCTAAGGAGCTAGAATGATAGATGTGCAGCCACTATGCCCAGTTGTTTTTTTTTTTTTTTCTTCCAGACATGGGGTGTTGTGTTGCCCAGGCTGGCCTGAAATTCCTAGTCTCAGATGATCCTTCTGCCTTCACCTCCCAAAGCAGTGGGATTACAGGCATGAACCACTGCACCTGACCTATTCTCCTACTTCTAACACCATAGACTAGGCTCACCTGATTTTGAATTTTATATGAAAGGCATCATAGCATATGTCTTCACTTGTGTCTGGGTTTTTTACTCAACAGTAGATTTTAAAAATCCATCCATGTTATTGCCTGTAGTGTGGCTTATTCATTCTCATTGATGTATAGTATCCTATTCTATAAATACTGTATATTACAATTTATTTATCTATTCTTCTATTAATGAACATTTCTTTGTTTTTCAAATTGGAGGCATTTTTCACAGTGGTGCTATAAACATTCTTATACATGTCTTTTCATAAGCATATGTATATCATTCTATTACATGTATTTTTCCCATATATTTTCCTATCACTTTATTTTTAACCTTCCTCTATTAGAGAAATATTAACTGCACACTTGGAAAAAAACTTCTCCCACCTTGGTCTCCCAAAGTACTGGGATTACAGGTGTGAGTCACTGCACCCAGACTTAACCTGTTTGTGTGTTGTAATTATTGATATAATAGGACTTTTAAATTGTTTATATTTCATTTTAGTATATTTTCTTCTGTCTTATCTTTCTTTAGGCTAAATATTCTTTTGCTACATTAAGAGTTATATTTTATTATTCTGCTGTTTTCTTGTAACTTACTAAGGACAATACATATGCATTTTTTAAGTCAATTTCTTAAATTTCCCAACACGTATACCTTAGCATAATTCTCCTCACCTCTCATAGTCTTATTTTCTAATTTTTTAAATAAAATCTTACATTTATTATTTTAAAATCCAGATTCAAATTATGTAGTTAAGCAATCAATTTCATAATGGTTGAGGCCAGGAGTTCAAGATCATACTGGGCAGCATAGTGAGACCCCTGTCTTTACCAAAAAATAAAAATAAATTACCTGGACATGGTGACACATGGTTGTAGTCTCAGCTAATCAGGAGGCTGAGATGGGAGGATTGCTTAAGCTCAGGAGTTTGAGGCTGAAGTGAGCCATGATCAAGACACTGCACTCTAGCCTGGGTGATGCAGTGAAACCCTATTTAAAAAAAAAAAAAAAAAAAAAAGCTTAAAAACAACATTTTTAGGTTAAAAGAGACTTGGGACACAGAAAGGTGAACAAAAGGGGAAAAACTCCCAGCCATAATGAAACATAAACATTGTATTAAAGAAATTTGCTTACATAATTTAAAATTATTGGACAGATTTAAAGGAGCACTTAGAATTAATATATCACCTTAACTATACCAGATGTCAATATTGAGTAAAAGAAGCAAACAAGGAACTCAACAAAATGAGAAGGAGAATATAATAAAACTAAAGGCAGAAATCAATAAAAAGGAACACAAATAGAATACATATAAATTTTTTTCTAGAGATTAATTGATCAACCTGGTGGCATGTAACACTCAGAAAATTATTTCTGTAATACAGAGTAACAATATAGAATGAAAAGGGAAAACTAATACTGATGCAACAAATAGCAAAAATAACAAAACAATATTGTGAACAGTCATATGAAAACTTATACAAAACGAATAAATTTCTGAAAGTGGCAAATTGGCCACAAAACTTTAAAAATTAAATAGGCCAATAACTTAGTAAGCAAGTAAATCCAAATCAAAGACTTGCTTTGCAAAATAAATAAATAAATAAATAAATAACAGACCTGCAAGATTGTTGAGGAATAGATCTGTCTTATTCATGTCCAAAAGGGAGAACTATAAAATTACTGAGATCTTTCTTTGAGGCTAGAGTTATTTTAATTTTAAAGCCAGGAAAGGATAATACAAGAAAATAAAATTATAGCCTTCTTTTACTTATAAATATAAAGCAGAACAATTTCCAAAATGGCTTAACATTAGAAAACTGTCAATATAATTTATCATATTAGTAAATTGCTATGAAAAATTCATGATTATCTCAACAAGTACCAATAAATTATTTCTTAAGTTCAACAACATATTTATCATAAAATCAAAGAAGATAGGAATAAGAAAATATTTCCTAACCTTGATAATATGCTTAGCGGTCATACTGCAGCAAATATCATATTTAACTGTAAGGAAATTTTAGACATGGTCTTTTAAATCGGAAACAAGAAAAAGATAACTGTTATTGCAGGTATTAAATATAAAAAGAGGTGTTGATTGGAAAGAAAGAAGCAAAACTGTCATTAGTTGTAAGAAAGATAATCAACTTCATGAAAAACAATCAAAATCAACAGAAAAACTTAAATACAGAGTTTAGCACAGTTTCCAAATATTGGTTAACTTAAAAAATCTGAAAATGTTCCTAAACAACTAATAACCAGCTAGAAATGTTTTTAAATATCATTAATTATAGTGAACAAATTAAAAGTACCTAAGAATTAACCTAGCAAAAATTGCACCTACGTTGAGAAAATTGTAAAACCTTCCTAAAAGACATTTAGAAAGACTTGAATAAATGGATAATATATTTGTGGCTGAAAGAAATTTCACTATAAAGACATCAGTGCCCCAAACTCAAACTTATTAACAATTTATAGTTTGACTTAACATTGTTAAATCCATCCACTTTTTATCCATAAAAAGTGGACTTTTGGTTTTCCCTTAAAGACTTCTGTTCCCCTAATGGTATAACTGAAAAATGTAACAGACTGATGCCAAACAGGAAGAAGTAATCAATATCTACTATGTAAAGAATTTAAGATATAAAAAATTTCTGGCCGGGTGCAGAGGCTCACCCCTGTAATTCCAGCACTTTGGGAGGCCGAGGCAGAAGGATCATTTGAGGTCAGGAGTTTGAAAGCAGCTTAGCCAACATGGTGAAACCCCGTCTCTACTAAAAATACAAAAAATTGTCAGGGCGCAGTGGCTCACGCCTGTAATCCCAGCACTTTGGGAGGCCGAGGCAGGTGGATCACCTGAGGTCAGGAGTTTGAGACGAGTCTGGAAACATGACGTAACCCCTTCTCTACTAAAAAATAACAAAAATTAGCTGGGCGTGGTGGCGGGTGCCTGTAATACTAGCGACTTGGGAAGCTGAGGCAGGAGAATCACTTGAATCCCGGAGGCAGAGGTTGCAGTGAGCCGAGATCACACCTTTGCACTCCAGCCTGGGCAACAAGAGTGAAACTCCATCTCAAAAAAAAGAAAATGCAAAAAATTAGCTAGTCGTGGTGGTGGGCGCCTGTAATCCCAGCTACTTAGGAGGCTGAGGCAGGAGAATCGCTTGAACCCCAGCAGCGGAGGTTGCAGTGAGCAGAGATCGTGCCATTGCACTTCAGCTCTGGGTGATAGAGCAAGCCTCTGTCTCAAAAAAAAAAAAAAAAAAAAAACTTTGCAAGTATAAACAGCCAACCAGACACTACTTGAAAATGTAGACAAGAACCTTACAGAAGGGGAAACTTGAATGGCTAACAAGTATATGAATACATACTCATACTTATTAATAATCTGAAAAAATGCAAATCAAAACCGTCATTCAATTGGTGATGTTGGGAGGGGATCTGAATCAGGGAATGAATAGAAATATTCAAAGACATTAATATTAATACAACCTCATTGGAAACCAGTAATTCATGAAATTGGATTATATATTTAACCAAATCATTGTTTTCATTTATTTCTAAAATAATTGTTGCTACCAAATGCAGGTTTTAATTTGGAAGGCTAAATCTTAAATTTGAAGTGTACAAAATAACAGTAACAAATTCACAAACCTGCCAGTTACCTGTATGTGAGAAGAGAATGGCTCTTACGTTCTCCATGTGAGGCTGTCTCAAATGAGGTATTGGTTCACACATTCTGTGACCTAGAGATATAGCGACATTAATATACCCATAAGAGGAATACAGCCCAAACACTCCCCCTCATGGCAGTCCATTGTAAGAGTATGCTATGAGTAAAACATTTGGAGATTCAGATTCAAATTCTCTTGAGATTGACCAAAGTATATTTTCAAATGCTTCGTTGGGCATGAAAATACTCGAATTACAGAACTTGCATATTATTTCCACTCTATAATAGTGAGAGTCATAACCTATGATTTGTCCCCTTGGAGAGTCTATTCATTATACTCTAAAACTTAAACCACTGGTCCTTATGTGTTCCATCTATTTCAGATTCATATATAGAGATAATTAACCTATTCCCTTGGATGTAAAATAGGCATTTCAAAATTAACATGTTCAAAATTGAACTCTGGATTCTCTTTCCAAAGTTTGTTCTTCCTCTAATCTTTCCCATATTTGT